CGGCCCGCGGGCCGTACGTTTGACACCCCTGGTTTACATGAAGCAGACAGATGCATCAGTACACAATGTGAGAACAGACCTGGTGTGTTGGTGTTGGCTGATGTGTGTCGGGTCCAGAGTGGCTGAGCCAGTGAACAGAGACACCTTACTGGCAGCCATCTTGGTGTCCAGAGTAGAATGTGTGTCAATGAGAGACTGGACCAGCTCCGTGGTGGGGCGCGCCTCCTCCTGTTACCCAGCAGGCAGGACAGTGAGCAGAGGCCAGGTGGTCATACTGAAATGCTCAGACCTTTCATGAAGCAGCATGTACCTGCAGCTGGTTGACGTGGCTGGCAGGCAGGTCGATGTAGACGGCGTCCTTGTCATAAACCAGCCCCCCAACCCCCGCCATGGGGGCGTACAGCAGGCGCTCCTTCTCATTCAGAGCTCTCTTCTTCCGAGCGTCAGGAAGTGGACACGGGTCGGACAGGAAGCCCACGTCTCCCACCTGGAAGTCTCCTACACCTGTCCTCAGACACCACATTACAGCAGCAGGTTAGCTTTCCAATGCAAAGCCTTGACTTAGATTGAACTATGTGTGCTAGGCTACATTCACACAGCAGGCAAACATGACCTTTACCTGACCTTCGCACCCATCAGAGCGATCTGTGATCTGAGCCACTTCCATATGTGGAACTAAATCAGATTCTTATCTGATAATTCTCAAAGCATCTGTGGTCTGAACATCCAAGTCACATTTTATCAGGCTTTTGCATCATTGATATGAGACATGCATCATAATTGAATCAGAAGTGAATCTCAAAGTGAAAAGAGATTCCCACCAGTATGGCTTACTGGTAAACACTCTGAGCCTAGGCATATGATGAAATGATCAGACCCCCAGGGTGAATGTGTGAAGGTTTTCAGGCCTGAACACATCACAGCTCTGCTGAGCGCACCTGGGATGTGGACCTGGCCTTTGTTTTTCAGATGTGCCCCTCTCAGGAAGCCGTACAGAGACACCGTCCGGTCACATTTAGGATCCGTCCTGACCTGCTCTGGATCCGTTAAGTCCTCCATACTGAAAAAAAAAAAAAAAAAAAAACAGAATTGTGAAGAACTGAAATATAAAAACCAGCATTAAGAAGATTAATTTTTTTTCTTTTTTAAATTATTATTATTGGCTCTAGTGGCCTTTATTTGAAAGTAGTTCATCTGGAAACAGGGCAATGAGAGAGGGGGAAGACATGCAGCAAATGTCACCAGGCCAGGAATCGACCCGGCGACCAAGGCCTCCATATGTGGGTTGTTCTTTGCCCATGCGCCACCACAGCGCCCACAGGAGGAAGATTAATTATTGATACCTTCAGGTGATGTTAGTGTTATTAAAGCAAAACACAAATTAAAGACAACCCAGCTGTTCATTTGACTTTCCTAATAAACTTCAAGATAAAGAACCAGAAATCCCAGCTCAGTAGAGATCATCTGCATATAGTTCAGTCTGAACTGTTTACAGCTCCTTATGGAGGAAGTGACATCACAGGGTCCTAGCTGCTGGGGCCCATGATGTGGAACATCATGTGATCTGGTTCTGTTTGTTTTTGTCACTTTTTTTATCTCTGTTCTCTGAATTGGCAGCAATTCTGCAGAAAATATTTTCTGATGTTTTTGGTGATGCAACATGATATTAAAAAAATTGTAAATTTGACGGATTAAACTGCAAAACGGCTGAAACACCGAGTTCCTTTAAATTAAGACTAAGAACCCTGTAAGAGTTACTTTTGATTAATAATAAATCAAACATGGACCAACATATTCGATGTGTATTGATGATGGCACTCGACAAAATGTAATGTTTGTTACTGGTTTCTCAATTGGTGATTATGTTTTTAGGACTTTTTATTTTTGTTTTTTATGATATTTGAACTGCTTTGTGGCTGAAATGTGCTACACAAATAAACTAGATCAGGGGTCCTCACGTCCAGTCCTCAAGAGACATCATCCTGCAACTTTTAGATGCGTCTCTGCTCAAACACACCTGGATCAAATAAACTGCTCGTTTCCAGCCTATTGCAGAGAGGAATGAATGCTGGTGAGGGAATTCAGACATTTTGAAGCAGAGATGCATCTAAATGTTACAGGATGGTAGCTCTTGAGAACTGGACTTGGGGGCCCCTGAACTAGACTGTTTAAAATTCTGGTTTGCAATAATGTATTTAGCCACTTAGATTGGCTTACAGTGTCACAAACTGGGTAATTATGGTAATGTTATAAGAATTTTGATTCATGTAAACGAGCAGCTCTTTTCGTGGCCAGAGTCTCCCCCCAAAACTAGTCCAAAACTAAAAGTAGTGTTGGTTCCATGAGAGCAACAACAGATACCAATGATTTTAAAATATGATTAAATTCAGTTGTTGTGTGCAGTATAGAGATAAAGTTGCACTACTTAACAAGTGTCCTGATGTAGATGGTTAAATAACCAGCAAATTGCTCTTGATTCTTAATAGTTTTCAGAAGTATACACAGCCATACAGGCTACTGCCAAAAAGAAGAAATGGATTTTCAAATTATTTTTATCATCAAATGCAATGAACACCACAAAATATAATTAACCACATTATCCATACCCAAACCCTGACAATGATCCAATAGAAGCATTAACCATGCGACTAACAGTTTTTTTCTACAAGCTGTGAAATCTGTCCAGCTTCCATCCCCTCTGCCCCCTGCAGATGTGCACGCGCACGCGCACGCGCACGCACGCACACACAGCTGCACTAAGCAAAGACTGATTGAGACTTTACAAATAGATATTTATATACTTTAGCATTTTATTTATCAGTGAAAGAACCATTGTAATTTTATGTTCTAGAAATATAACTACAAATAAAAATAGGAAGATAAAGACTAAGTTTCTGCACACATTCACACTCCTACTGCACCTCAAAAGCAGTCAGTTTGTGTTATTTTAATAATAGAAATATTAATAATGTCATTAAATTTGGTCACCCACAAGTAAAAACTCCCAGGATGCACTTTGTGAAAGTGGAATTTCCACAGCTCCCACTCACCGGTCAACCAGCAGATAGGGGTGAGACGTCTGCCACACAAGAGGACGAAACTTCATGACTGAGATGAAGCGGCCCAGGTTCTTCACTTCCTGGGTCTGGTACTCCCCGTAGACCATCCCAGACAGGTAGAACAGCTTGGCCCCCTGCAGGAGCCAAACCCAGGTTACATCACTGTCCTGAGCTCCACTATCTGGACAGAAAAGCCGCCCAGCCGAAAACATCTGATGGTGTACCTACCTGGTAGACTTCAGTCCAGAAGCGGTGCTTCAGGGTTTTCTTAGTCTTCCTGAGTGACTTGTTGTTCTTGAATGAATCCAAGTGAGTCAGGACACCCATTATACGAGGGAAACCATGAACCTGACAAATGTTGAGAAACTCGAAGGTCTCCATCTCAAAGCCGAAGCTAGCATCAATTAGCATCAACACCTGCAGACAGAAAGAAGCTGCTTCACTCACTCTGTTTTTTTAACATGCTCAACTGTTCCAGACCAACAACAATGTAAGAACAGCTGAAACCAAATATTTACATTAGGGTCACTGATCAGATAAAACATATTACATGAATTAAAGATGAACGACTGTGCTTTTATTCTGTGAACACAAAAAGAATACAGGGTTTCCCCCAGTGTATTATAAGCATGGCAGCCCGTCATGCTTTACTACTGTGTTTCCCCGAAAGTAAGACAGTGCCTTACTTTCTTTGTATCCCCAAAAGGCCCACTATGTCTTACTTTC